CCAATGTCCCGTTGCAAGAGTGCTCTTATAAGCTTCTCAATGAGGGCCTTTCCTAGCCCTTGGCCCTACGTAACCAGTAAATTGTCAAAACTACAGCTTCATAATTCAACGGTAACAAGAAAGAGCCAGACACATTTTAACGAAAACTACTGCTGCATTATCCAAAGGCAGAAGCAACATCCATAAGTGTAACAAAGATCCAGTGATCGCGCAGGATGGCAAAAGAATTTATTTGAACAACCAGCAACAATTAATCTTTTCCTGAACTTGGAGTATTAATAAGTAAGTTCTGTTTTTATTTAAAGCTGTCAATATGTTTTAAAAAGGATGGATGGTTCTTCTAGAACATCAGACCAGATTTTGTATGTTTATAAATACAAATAGAATCGACATAAAATGAAGAAAGGAATGATAGCATCATCATGCTGAAATTTTAATCTGTGCAGCCAAGAATGTCGAAAACTATTCCATTATCTCATGAGGATACGCTCTATAGAGTAGCCAAAAGATCATGGCCAGTAGTAAGAATCCAAAGCCATGTAATGCAAAAAAGCATTTGTTAAAATTTAGTTAAATAGCAAGCAGTGATATTAGTATAAGTTTTTGTCCAAATAAGGGTCATTTATCCACATATAAATTATAACACATACCTGATAGGAAGGATCAACAAGAACATCCCAAATTGTTGCATTGAAAGCATGGTCTGATGTAGCTCGGGCCATGCCTATCAGCTTCTTTTGGTCATTCCCCACTGCCAAGCAACTTCCGCAAGTACACTAAGACGTCCGTCACTTAGTTTAAAAGAAACTGTAATACTCATTTTACATAGGTTAAGAATAAATTTACTAATAACACGTCGTAATAGACAGCCAGTCTAAGGACAAGCTAATTCCAACAGAAAAAGCCTATTACAAAATACCTTCTCCAGTTGATTTCTTTATGGAATGCAAAGTAGCCACCATGTAACTATTCCTAAGAGCAGCAGCTAGCTTTGTCAGTGGCCTCCGAGGCCAACCAACCTATCAAATTTAACAAGGAAATAAGCTATATTAATTTATGTTTCCACACGCAAAAACCAAAACTAGCCTCAAGCAAATAATTGTTGATGGAAACGGGCTACCAAATAGGTAAGCTAACTAAACTAGAAAATATTCGCCATACTAATATTTTGTGAAGCAATTAGGATACTGGCAGCAAAGTCATATCGGTACAATCCAGGCCAATTGAACAGGATACCAATTATTTAATGTACAGTAGAATATTCCTGTCCCTGATCAGCTCTGTTCAACTAAAAAAAAAAAAACCATGT